TGGTTGTACATACATGGTTGGTGATGGAAGGAATCTATAGCTCTCATCAGATTCTCAAAGAAATAGGGATCCCCGGGCGCCTGGGTGGCTCAGTTGGTTAAGCGACTACCTTCGGCTCAGGTCATGATCCTGGAGTCCCGGGATTGAGTCCCGCATCGGGCTCCCTGCTCGGCAGGGAGTCTGCTTCTCCCGCTGACCCTCCCCCCCTCTCATGCTCTCTCTATCTCATTCTCTCTCAAATAAATGAATAAAATCTTTAAAAAAAAAAAAAAGAAATAGGGATCCCCAAAAGGCACATATTTGTGTTATTCATTAGTACTGAAAATTTCCCATGTCAATACAACTATTTCATTTCTACAGGAAAAGTACCATTCATTGGAAAGTATCCTATTTCCTCCTTGACTCAGAGAAGAGCCCCTGGCCTGTGAGAAACTTTTTTTTTGTCCCAGCTCTGTCCTGGCTCCGGACTGTGGGAGCTTTGGCTCCGGACTGTGGGAGCTTTAGCCCCGCACCGTGGCCCCCTGGTGGCCGCTATGAGAACTGCAGCCACAGCCCCTGGTTTAGGGGGAACCCATGAGTCCAGATGATCCTGTTGATGACAGGCTAGATGGGCAGTTGGCACATTGAAAGACAACTTTCTAAAGATTATTACTAACTATATAATTCTGTTCATATGCATTAGAAAAAATTTAAGAAGTTGATTTTGAGTCATTATTTTCTAATTGCGTTAATAATAGAACAGGTAGATTTGGCAAAGAAAAGCCACAATTATACATAAATCACTGAGGTTTGGAAAATAGCTATCTAATTCAACCCTCTCATTTTCTGATGAAGAAAGTGAAGTGTGAAGAAATTAGGAACCTATGCCAGGTCATATAGAGCTCGTTAGTAGAAAAGATGGGACCAGAACTTGGGCCTCCTGACCTATAAGCCATGGTTCTATCAAGATACTATAAAAGTTCTTGCTGGAGGTGTCAGAAAAAAGGCTGAAGGAGCATTTTCTCTAGGGCAACTGAACCACATTAGAGTGAAGATTCTCTTTCTCTCTCTCTCTCAATAGATATTCATATATATCTTTGTGAACCTATATATAGATACATCCATGTATGATCATATTCATTCATTCAATGAATATTTATGGAATACCTATTTGGGATCAGCCTCTGTTCTGGTCTCCAGGAAGGAATAAAAAGATAAATACAAACACAGTCTTGTCCTTGAGCTCACAGTCTGAAGAATAGACCGATAATCAAGGACACAGGTTTATTTATTTAAGACCCAAGGCAGGGGTGAGGTAATTGGTGGTGCTCCAGTAATTCGAGGGGGAGATGGTATGACTTCAGGACAAGGCTTCACGAGGATGGTAGCTGAGTTGAGTCTTGAAGAATGAGCAAGAGGTGGTCACGGTGGGGCATGTACAAGATCATAGAATTCAGAAACATTCACAGCATGTAGGTAACTTCTAATGCTTCAGTGTGTGTGGACTGCAGGCTTTGGTGATGGCTAGTCAAATTCTGGGCTACTGAGAAGCAGGGCAGAAGCTGGACTGGAAAAGCTTTGAATGTCATGCTAAGTAATCAGCACGGATCTTATCCTGAAGATGCTGAGAGCCACTGGACATGACACAATATTTCCATCTGTGGCACTGTGGAGGGTGAGTGACAGGGAATAATACCGGAATCAGGAACGCCAGCAAGGAGACCACTGCAATAATCCAGGTTTAGAAACTCTGAGGGGCACCTGGGTGGCTCAGTTGGCTGAACATCTGACTCGTGATTTCAGCTCAGGTCATGATCCCAGGGTTGTAAGATCGAGCCCCACGTTGGGTTCCATGCTGAGCATGGAGCCTGCTTAAGATTCTCTCTCCCTCTGCCCCTTCCCCAACACTTGTGCCTCTGCCACACTCTCTCTCTAAAAAAAAAAAAAAAAAATAGAAAGAAACTGAGTGACATGAGTGAGCAAAGTGAGTGGGAATGAGGTAAGTTTAGACAGTAGGATCAACAACGAAATTGGAAGCAAAGCAAAAGGAGGGGCCACGTATGTCTCAGAGTTCCTACCTGGATAACTGGGTCAATGACAAAGTCACTGAGATCAGGGATATAGGAGAAGGGGTGGATTGGGGAGAAGGACGGTAAATCTAATAAATAGTTTTAAGATAAATTTAGTAAAGGCAAGGATAAAAATACAGTAAATTTTTTAGGATAAAATAACGATAAAGAGATAGTAAACTCAGTCAAAGTCAGGGAGATGTTCAATAAAAGCCGAATGGTAGACTGGAACTCTGGATAGGGATCAGGGCTAGGGACATAAATTTGAGGAAAATTAGTATGTTAATGGTACCCGAAGCATGCGTGTATTTGAGATTACCCAGAAAGAGAATATATAAAGTGAGAAGACAGGATAGGGTAGAACAGAAGACAGAGGAACATCCATATCAAGGAGACGGGGAGAGGAAAAGGAGCTCACAAGCGGTTGAGAAGAACGGCCAGCAAGGTAGCAAGAAGACCTTGAAAGGGTGAGTCATGAAAGCCTGGGGGGGGGAGAGAGTCTTAGGAACGAATTTGAATGATTAAAAATTCCAGACCATGCAATGATAAAGGGAAAAATAAGAATTGAAAAATGCCCTTTAAATCTAACAGAAAATCATTGCTGACTGCAAGCAGTGAGAGAGATAGAAATCAGATGACAGATAAAAATCAGGTCAGAAATCAGATCATAGAGGTCAGATCCCATTCAACCCGAAAGAGAACGAGAACTAAAAGCACAGCATGCAGGTAACCCCTTGAGGAAAAGGATAGGGGATAACAGTTAACAAGGTAAGCCGACAGCTTATATTAGCTTAATAAATGGTTAATAAAGGCCTACACTTTTATGGGGAACATATTAAATTGAACTCTATGAAACTGCCATCTTTATAAGTCACAGAGAGAAAGAATGTCAGATGGTGTAACCTAACTGAGTGAGAATGGGTGATACCGTGTTCATCGTGTTCCATTAAGAAACTCAGCCAAGATCATAACTAAAGCGTCGATCTCCATTCAAATCACATGCAGGCTAAAGAGACAATCATTGAAAAGCCTTTGCCAGCTCAGGCTTAGGCAGCTCAGCGAGCTAGTTCCAAGTCAGGACCCACGCCAGACCGCCAGCCCTGTGTCCGGGCTCAGCACCCATCTGCTGGGGGTTCTGCATGAGCCCCTTAACCTTTCCTGGACCAAGTACAAATATAAATACAGATGACAATGCTGTCGATCTTCATATAGATACAGATATAAAATAGTTCTACCTCCTAGAATTGTCTTGAGGATTAAAAGTCCATTGCAGGAAGACTAGATAAGCAGAATGTGGTCCATCCTCACGATGAAACAGTAATGAAATGAAATAGTACTCAGCCTTCCAAAGGAAGAAAATTCTGACCCGTGGCACGACATGAATGAAACTTGAGGACATTATGCTCAGTGAAATGAGGACAAATATTGTGTGATTCCACTTACATGAGATCTCTAGAAGAGTCAAATTCAGAGAGACAGAAAGTAGAAAGGTGGTGGCCTGGGCCTGGGGGCAGGCTGGGGAGTGGAGAGCTCGTGTTTAGTAAGGACAGTGTCTCAGTTTGGGAAGATGACAAGAGTTCTATAGATGGACGGTGGTGACCGTGGCACAACGATGTGGATGAACTTATGTTTCTGACCTGTACGCTTAAAAATGGTTGAAATGGTAACTTGTATGGTACGTATACTTTCTCACAATAAAAATGAAAAGAAGTAGTTAATTTCTAAAGCACTTGGTAACTGTTACACAAATGTTGTTAAATAAATAGACACACAATACATTGGCAGATGCTAACAATGACCCAAGATGGGAGGGAAGGACAAGAAAGAACCTCAAAGAACAAAAGAAAGAAAGAATCCAGTAGAAAGTCACGTTGGGAAGGACCCCATGCGAGAAAGGGAGAGGAAATGAAGTGATACCTCAATGTCAGATGAAAAAATGAATAGAAACAGGGAGGTGCAATCCAACTGCTCTTTAAGAAGCCCAGTAAAAGTTCACTCAACAAATATTTATAAGGAAGCCCCTGCCAGGGGCCAGGCACTCGGCTACGTGCTACCAGCAAACTGCAGGGAGAGAATATGAGAAAATAATTGGCATCACTGTTAAGACAGGCTGTAGGGAGGCACCAAGATAGACTGAATGAACGATGCCATGTAATAGGAATGAGCCAGACAATCAATCTTGTGATTATTGGGGCTCACTGGAAGTTGGAAATAAAATATAATTGCTGTAGCCATGTTTATACCTAAGCAGAAGCAGGCCTGAACTGTGATTAGGCTGATAGCATGTGTCACAAACATGTTCCCTTGCAAGCCTTTATCCGGAAGAGAGGCAACAAGCAGGTGGATGGGAGCAGTGGTCCTCAGACTTTTCAGACGTGCCAGCGCCTGGGATCCACCCCCAGAGAGCCTGACTTGGTCGGTGTGGCTGGAAGCTGGACATTTAAAAACGCTCCAGGTGATTCAAACATGCAGCCAGGATTGAGAGCCACTGCATTAGAAGGAGCAGTTGCGCCCTACATACCACCAATCCCAGGGGACCCCTGGGTAGCAGAAAGAGCAAAAGTTGATCAGGAGCTGGAAGTGCGGGTCAGGAGGAGGATGTGTTTTCAGCCTTCAGTAGAGAGGACCACCTGTGGATCTTACAGGCTTACCAAGCGGCTCCTGACAAGAGCAAATCCACCCCACCACCTGAGAGGGTTGGCTTCCCAGGGGAAGCTTAGCACCCAGATCCTTGGGGAGGGTCTCTCCCTGTCAATGAGCAGAAATGGCTTCTTACGGGAGCATGACCCACACCAGTCGCTCACTCTGGAAGGACCCCCCCCCAACCTGCCCAACCAACCAAAGGGTGCTTCCCAGGAAAAAGCAGCTGAGGATCTCCCTAGCTAAGCCACTCCCCACTCTTCACCATGTGGGAGCCAGGAGAGGAAAGTGGAGGCGATCCCAAGCACTCACGGCTGAGCGGCCCTGAGGCGCACGGCGGCTTGGGCCTGTGCGTGCAGGTGGCCCAGGAGGCTGCAGAGGGCCGGCTGCCTGGAAGGAAGCTGGAAGTGCAGGCTGCTCTTCTCTTTCTCCAGTTCTTCCAATCTGTGTCTCAGCGCCTCAGCTGGAAACCCAAAACGTGAGAGGGAGGAGTCAAGGACCATGAAACTCAAAATAGGGAACCCAGCGTCCCAGAGCCCCACCCCAGCCAGCGTCCATCGTAATGACCTAACGCAACAGACCCTGCATTCATGGCCAGCACCTTCATCTCTCAGTCGGTGCTTTGAAGAATCTTCTTTTTAATGACGGCACAGTCTCCCTGCTTTTTATTCTTCCTCGTATCAGAATGTCCAGTTTATGTATTTATATCATGATCACCCCATAGGAAGATACATATTAATTATTTTTAAAACCATGGTCTTGGGCGCCTGGGTGGCTCAGTTGGTTAAGCAACTGCCTTCAGCTCAGGTCATAATCCTGGAGTCCCAGGGTCGAGTCCCGCATCGGGCTCCTTGCTCAGCGAGGAGTCTGCTTCTCCCTCGGACCCTCCCCGCCTCATGCTCTCTCATTCTCTCTCTCTCAAATAAATAAATAAAATCTTTTAAAAATAAATAAATAAATAAATAAATAAATAAATAAAACCATGGTCTTCGCTTGGGAGAAAACTTAACTAATTTTGATGAGTTTCATGTCTTTAATTGAAAAATGTCGGTGCCCAAGCTTGGACTTTAAGGACATTTCCTTAGAAACTGCCCATCATGATAGAACCAGTTATAATTATTAAAGTCATAAAAGCGATGTTCCAATTCTATGTTGCAGATGACCATATATCCACCTCTGTTATAAAGTAGGGGTCTTATTATTTTTTTAATGACCTTAAGTTTCCCTAGGACAAGATACAAATACAGAATCACTGTAAAACAATTTTTCTCTAAAAAAGTAAGCTTTGGAAATTGGAATCCCCTCAAATAAGAACTTACCTTCATAACCAAACACCTAAAGAATGGGGAAAGTCTCCCATAAAGCCATTTTTGCAGAAATATAAGGACTGGGTTTAAAAATACCAACCATCAGATCTTCCCTCCTGCTGGTCTGTGCCAGGCGAGGGGGCAGAAACTTCGATGGGCTCCACCCTTGGATAGTAGATGGGCCCTGGGACCACCCAGGGCCCCAGGCAGCCACCCTGGCCATGAGCACCTACTGCTTACCCTGGCATGCAATGCAAATGTCATCCTCTGTGTGCGCCGTGGTTAGAAAATGTTTGTATGTTTCCCTGCCCTACAGGCCATTTTCCAAGTAAACCATGGTGACTAACATAACATAATAAAAAAAAATGGTATAAAAATATATATATAAGACCCAATTTTAAATTAAAACACTGTTTCCAACAAGCTTGTGTTTTTTTAAAGATTTATTTATTTATTTGAGAGGGAGAGAGGGCACATGAGGGGGGGGGGCGAGCAGAGGGAGAGAGAAAGAGAGAGAATCTCAAGCAGACTCCCTGCTGAATGCAGAGCCGGACACAGGGCTCGATCTCAGGACCCCAAGATCATGCCCTGAGCCGAAATCAAGAGTCAGATGCTTAACCGCCTGAGCCACCAGGCGCCCCAAGAAGCTTGTTATTTTTAAAACGCTTTGGACAAAATATTTTTTTTGTATACCAGCAGAGGTCAACGCTAATCACAGCACACCCCTCGACACGACACTGGTCTCCTGCTGGCCCCCTCCCAAGACACGCACCTGGGTGGAGGAAAGGCAGGCCTCAGGTGTGGTGGGCAGCAAACATCCTCTCCATTAACTTGCCATATTCATTGGGACCAACAGCCAGGAATTGCCCAGAGAATTTGCCAAGGATTCATTCTAACGGCACCAGAAAGGCTCATTTACTGACTTCAAGACCAACTCACGGGTAACGGCCAAGGGCTCTCAATCTGAGCCACCTTCTTCAAAGCGACGGCTGGTGCTAATCCAGACACCACACCTACAACACACAGTGCAGTCTGGCCCGGCAGTTCTTCCAGAATAATGCCAAAACACACCTATTCCCTGACACCGGGCTTCAAACATTTTTTTAAAAATTTTTATTTTATTTCATTTTAATTATTTTTTTAAATTTTAATTAATCAATTAATTTTATTACTTGGTTATTTATTTAATCCGTGCTATATAAAATCAAAACTGCCGTGAAAAGCAGTAAGTTTCTTATGTTACGTGCTTTAGAATAACATCTTCGTGCTGCCGTAACGTGGTGGTGAAGCTGTGTCGAAACACTATTATGCAGGGATGAGGACAAAGCCCGCGTCTACAGCTCTGCCCTGCCGTTCCTAGCTGACCTTCCAGCTACTTAACCTTCCTACATTTCAGTTTGCTAATCTGTGGATTCAGGGCTAATAATAATATCTACGTCCCAAGGTTTCCTGAGGATTAAACGAGATCATCTAAGGCAAAGCATTTAGTGCCGGGCCCACACCTAGCACGTGTCCAAAGGGTTGGCTCTTTATTGTCAGCAGTACCATGAGGTCGTGGCCTCGGAACGTTGGCAAGGCCGCCAGACACCAGCCTGGCCTCCCTCTGCCCCCAGCCGGATTCTCCCACTGCCCGGTGAAAAGCCCTCGGACACTGCAAGTCCATCAAGCCAAACCAAACCCCGGAAACGGTAAATTGGCTGCCAAACACCACACTCACAATGAGTTTCAAAGGCAAATATAAATTATCCCAGTAAATATTTGTGACTCGCTGTGCTCTGCATTGCCATTCACCTTCGAAAGGGTGACATCAAAAGTTATTCCCATTTTATGACTGGGAAGGTGCACCAGGACAGTCACTATGCATTCAAGAGCTTATTGTCCCCAGTCTCTAAATGGCTTCCTACCCCAGCTTCTCAAATGGCTATCAGCTACCTGGGCTTCCACCTCACATGCTGGCATCACCTCTGCCCAGCATGAGGGTGCATTTTACTGGTTCCCCCAAAGTCTACCCCTATTCACTAATTCGATATTGCAGGCAGAGGGAGCTCCCAGCCAGGGCAAAGGCCCTGAGGCAGCAAGCAAAGGGGAGAGGGGGCTGGGGTAGACTTGATCGTCACTAAGGACCGTCTGTTGACCTGGAGGGAGAGAGGAGCCCCTGGAGGGTTTTGAGCAGTGGAGTGACACAACGGACTCTTGTTTAACAGGATAAGCCAGGGGCTCCCCTGGGAAGAGACCATCAAGAGCAGAAGGCCTGAGACCAGTGGCATGATTCTTGCAGTTCCCTGGACCTACAAGGGAAACAGGGTGGTGGGACGTGGCCAGGGTTTCGGATATTCTGACAGATGGGACACCAGGAATGGAAGAAGACAGAAATCCGAGTGACCCAGTGTTTGTGGCCCAAACAACCAGGACGAGGTGGCTGTGAGCTGAGCTGGGGAATCTGCTGTTCCTTCTGCCGGAAACACCCTTCCCCACAGCGGCCCAGGCAAACCCTGTTCCCCACTCAGATCTCAGCACCCTCAGGAGGGCTCCCTGGTCTCCATGCCGCCTCAGCACACCCAGACTTCTACCCGCATGAGAGCCTCACACTTGCCTCCCCTCGTGCAGGGCCTCCTGTGTCCATGAGAGAAGGAACGTGTCACCATGCTTGTCACTGTGCAAACCACACGGGGCCGCTGCCTGGCTCAGAGTGAGCACACACCAAAAAGTGTCCGGCTAAACTCAAGTTACGTCCCCTCACGGTGTTTCTTTTTGGGTGAGTTTTCTTGAGCCACTTTACATCGTTTTCATCAGCCACTAAATGAACATAAAGATGAAAAACTCGGGGCACCCGGGTGGCTCAGTCGTTAAGCGTCTGCCTTTGGCTCAGGTCATGATCCCAGGGTCCTGGGATCGAGCCCCGCATGGGGCTCCCTGCTCTGCGGGGAGCCTGCTTCTCCCTCTCCCACTCCCCCTGCCTGTGTTCCCTCTCTCGCCGTGTCTCTCTCTGTCAAATAAATAAAATCTTTAAAAAAAAAAAAAAAAAAAAGATGAAAAACTCATCACGTCTAAAATGAAATCCACTGACTACCTTGCAAGATTTTACTCTACCTGCCTCAGGCCCTGAGCAGGTCCCCGCCAGCCAGGCCTACAGCTTTGGGTTCTTGGACCCGTCGCCTCCCGTGCCTCCACATCCTGCTGGCGTCCACCACACTCCTGCCTCCTTCCCCATTTCCACTGCTTCCAGCCAGGCCACATCACCCTCACTTCTGCAGGACCAGTCACCTCCCTGCCTAAAAACCCGCGTTCCTCCAGGGGCCAGCAGAGCACCCTGTCTGGCGCTCAGCTGTGTACAAGCCAACGAATGAGTGAACTGGCTGTGTCCCCGAAACAATGCCGAGCACGTCTTGGTCGGCTCGGGCTGCTGGAACAGAGTACCATAGACTGGGCGCTTAACCCGATAAACATTTATTTCTCACAGTATGAGGGCTGGAAGGCTGAGATCACAGAGCCAGCATGGCTGCGTTCTGGGGAGAGCCCACCTTCAGGTGGCAGATGGCCAACTTCTTGCTAGGTCCTCATGGGACAAATAGAGGGTGAGCTGGCCTCTTCTTATAAGGGCACGAATCCCACTCATGGCAGCTCCACTCTCATGACCTAATCATGTGGCCACCTCCTAACACCATCCCATTGGGATTAGGCTTCAACATATGGATTTGGGGGGGCACAAACATTCAGTCCAGGCACGCCTCAAAGGGAGAAGGGAGAAGCTTCAGCCAGAGTGGTCCACTTTTTCCATTAATATGGGTGGTGTGGAAAAATGTTTCCTCTGGGGGAAAGGAGTGTTTGGAAATGTTTGAAAATAGTATTTTTTACCTCCTAAATGCCATGCTTATTTATTATTTCATGTATTCACTCAATTAACAAACACTTCTGATAACTCAATATTGCTAGGCTGTAGGGCTACAAAGATGAACAAGACACACTCCTGGTTCTTAAGGAACTCAGTGACTGGGGACAGGGGTGAAAACTATAAACAGGTCTTTTCTTATCTTCCTGTGCAGAAAAGGTGGCAGGAACCTGCCCCACTGGTAGAAAGGGGCCGTAAAGGAGCACAAAGGTGGTGTGCCCACCAGCACCCAGGGTGCAGGGGGCCAAGGGGCCTCGGGAAGCCACA